ATCTATGGACTTCTTCCTGTCTGATAGTGTAATAATCCTGTCAAAAAAAGGAAATGAGGTTAGTCTTGTGTGATCTGGTCCTGATTTAAGCCATTCTGATTTTCTGTGATCACCGCTTCCTTTTATAAGATACTCACTAATGATTTCTTTAAAGATATGTTCCAGAATTTTGCCAGAAATTAAAGTCAAGCTCACTAGCTAATAAGCTTGTAGACTTTATTCCATTCCTCCCTTTTAAAAAATATTGCAACATAATTTGCATTCCCCAGTGCTATAACAACTGTCTCATTTTCCATGATCTTTCAAGGATCATTGAGAGTAGCTTAGCAAATCCAAACAGTTCTTTCAGTGTCCTCAGATGTAGCTCATCAGGGCCTGGTCAGTTGATGTCATCAAGGACAAGGCTCTCTTATTACTGTATTTCCCTGCTTATCTTAGGTATTAATTCCTTATTATCCACTTTGTTGTGTCCCTTTTAATCTTCTTGGCAGAAAAAACATAGTGCTAAAATATTGAGCTATAGCAGCTAAGACATAGAAAAATTGAGGGAATAAAGACAGCCAAAGAGGAAACAAAACTATCCTATTTTGTAGATAATATGATGGTGTATCTAGAGAAACCTAAAGAATCAAGTAAATATTAGCTGAAATAATTAATGAATTCTGCAAAGTTGCATGATATAAAATAAATCCATCAGTATTTTTGTATACTGCCAACAAAACCCATCAGGGACAGAAAGAGAAATCCTATGCTAAGTAAAACAGAATGTATCAAATATTTAGGATTCTTTCCACCAAGACCTACACAGGAACTTTATGAATGAAACTACAATACACTTTTATAGAAATAAATGTATACCTGAGAAAATGTTAATCACTTATAGTTAGGCTGTCCCAATATTAAAAATTAAAATACTATTCTAAATTAATTTACTTGTTTAGTGCCATACTGATAAAAATGTATATCCATTCTTGCTAATGAGAAAATATACCTTTGTCTTCACTTAAGACCTTCTCTTTAGATGCAGACAATTAAGGGGACAGAAGAGAAGAGCTTGTGCTGAAAAAGGATGTCAGGGATGGATCTAAAGAGGTACTTAAGACTTGGGGAAAACCTCAAACAAAGGGATCTCTGAGAAATACTTTGTGGTCTTGGTCCTTCAGCACAATTTTGGTTCTGATTCCTAAGAATTCCTGAAGGGCCAGACAGAGAAGTAGGTCTTCCATTTTCCTTGGCACAAGTACCTGATATAGATGTGCAAATAGTCAGAACCTGACCTAGTAAAAATGACAAAGTGAACAATGTTTCTCTTTAATAAGCTCTACCTCCCTGGGCTAGACCTAGAGGTCCTCTTACATAAGAGACACATAGAGTATCTCATTTTACATAGGAAGGAAATGAGGCCAAGGAATGTCAAATGACTTGCTCAATGTCCTCATGAAGTCTAGTCCTATGCCAAACTAAGCCCCCAGTGTGGCTGCTCATCTGACTCCTCCATCTCTAGATCATTTTTCCTTTTTTCTCAACTCTCTATTTACCCAGCGTATCTTGAATTTTCTTGGGATTAGGTTCTTTAAACCTAATCTAATTAATCACTACTAATACATAAGTAAGGGCGAATAAGTTATTACATCATATCTTGGTGGTCGGGGAGGTGACCTTACCATTAGAGTTGAATTCTTGGTCTAGTTATAGGCCAAGATGATAGCTGACCCCTTTGTAATAGTTTTAGTCACCTGGATTTGGGAGTTGGTTTCTTTTTAAGAAACTGAGTAAGTAGTAATTTAGCACACTGCTACCTTGAAAGTTTCTGGGTATTCAAGATCCCAAAACACTTCTGATAGCAACTCCAATGTACAATACTAAATGCTCCCTCCAATAGAAAGGCACTATAGTTACAGAGAGCCCCTTCAGGTTTCTGAGTAGAGGGGTGACACAATCAACATGGTGTAAGGCAGCGGCATGAAGGATATATTAGTGAGGAAATAGAATCAAGTAAATTTCAAGACAGTCAGTTTATGGGCTAGGATAATCAGAGTGAATGCAAAGAACCACCTTTAGATAGCAACATGACCATTCTGAAATTCAATAAAAACTACTGACAATAGCTTGTAGTTAGGAAGACATTACCCTAGAGCTTGAAAATTCAAGATGACATCTGTACATTAGTTATAGTGGGTATGGATCCATGAGACACTAATAGAGAACTAATCTCATTTGTGATAGATATTTTGGCTCTACACGGGTATCTTTTGAAAGTACTAAGGGGATTCAAATATGTTATTTGCTAGGGGGAAAAAGGATAACAAAACATGGAAGAAAAAAATTCTTCCAAATAAGACTGAAAAATTGCATAAAAAGCTAATCTCCAGAAAAAGCTCCTATTAGCAGCATACGTAAAATATAATAGAGAAGAGTTCTCTCTTTACCCTCAGTAGGAACAAAAGCTAATCTGAGGACACAGAAACTATACCAGGAGTGACAGCATTTCATATCCCTTTTTCTCCATTGAGATTCTGTCTCTAATCAGACATGATAGGCTCCAAAAGGAGGGACCTTCATTTAAATCTAAGTGGTAGATCAAATTAAGATAATTAGAGCTCCTGTAGTCCATTTGGCCCAGAACATATTGTGGTACAGCACAATAGTGTCAAAATTCAAATAGTAACAGGGGCCACTAAACCATACATAAGTATCCCTGCAGGTCACATACTGACTTAGAAAACCACATGTTAACATCACCTATGTTCTTTTTTTAAATTTTTATTTAGTATTTTATTTTTCCCCAGTTACATATAAAAACAAATTTTAACATTCATTTTTAAAACTTTGAGTTCCAAATTCTCTCCCTTTCTCCCTTCTTGTCTCCCCCACATTGAAGGCAAGCAATTTGATATTTATACATATATCACCTATGTTTTACTGTATTTTTATGTATTTTGCTAAATATTTCCCAATTACATTTTAATCTAGTTTCAAAGGCTAAGCCATGTATGTGTTTGATACATCTGTTATACTAAATTAAGTGGATTTAGGAAGAACTTGGTTCAAATCCCAACTCTGACATTTAGTAGTTGTATGATCATGGGCAAATCAACTGATCTCTCTTTTTTTACCTTTTTATCTTTATTTAACTGATCTCTTTTCTTTATCTGTAAAATAGAGATGATACCAATAAATACCTAGGTCACAGGATGTTAGAGGCTCAAATGAGATAGTATATGTTATCACTAAGGAAATTTTAAAGTCAGTTATTACCACTCTTCCTCCTCTTCTTCATCTTTTGTTTCTTAAGTCAGATGCTAACTACACTTACTTTGGTAGATGAGCTGGGTAACTTACTATTTTTTTTTTCACATCACAGCAGCAAAACATAGAACAGAGAGAGCATCTGAACTAGACGCGACTGAGTAGAATACTTAGAAGTGTCTGAGTAGAATATTCAATAGCCAAAATCAAAATTGGTTATTATAATTTTTGGAAAAGAGAACAAAAGTGAACAGAGAGGAAAGATTGATTAGGAATGATAAACTAAGGGGGGTAAACACCTGACAATTTATTAATAATAGCATAACATTTAATTGTTACCTTTTGCAAAAGATGATAATGAAAGGTCTTGACTGGCTATTATTTTCTCTTGTTATATGGAAGATTAGGCAATATCCACTCCCTTCTGAATTACTTCAAGATTATTTCACTGACCTCCACTTTTTCTTTCAAAATTTTCATATTAACGTAACAAAAGAAAGAAAACCTAAAGCCCTCTAGTATCTCAAGAAAGTCTTAAAGAAAAAGAATTCTTTATTTAAAAAAAATTAGGTATCAGATTTTAATGGTTAAAAACCCTCCAACAAAATAAAAGCAATGGTAGTGCATATTTTCTCATTAAGACAATCAAACATGTTTCTTTGTCTCTTTCCTCCATTCCTACCAATAAATGAAAGTGGTTCTGAGATTTTCCCACTCTGTAGAAAAAATGATTTCCCCCAACTTTTGTTGAGTTATTTCAGTTGTATCTGAGTCTCTGTGACCCCATTTGGGGTTTTCTTGGCAAAGATACTGGAGTGGTTTGCCATTTCCTTCTCCAGCTCATTTTACAAGTGAGGAAACTAGGCAAACAGGATTAAGTGACTTGCCCAGGTTCATACAGCTAGTAAGTATCTAAGGTTGGATTTGAACTCATGTCCTCCTAATTCCAAGGCTGGTGTTTTATCCACTGTGCTACCTAGCTGCCTCCCTTTCCCTAACTATACACATACTAATAATAAAAATAGTATTAAATTACTTACGTATTATATTGAGATATTATATATAAATTAAAAATTCTAGTTGATGCTGGTTACATGGATTTTCCCACTTATTTCCTCAACAGTTTAGAGTAAATGACAAACCAAAGTGTTTAAAATCTACATGCGAATCTGTTAATTTTTATAAATGAGGTTTTTTTTGCCAACACCTTTGAAAAACATTCAAATTCTCAGGACAAATAATAAACATTTTACAGTTTAAAAAAACATTTAAAATAGTATGACTCAAATCCATACACTCCTGAGATAGATTTGTTTACATTAAACATTACTTGCCAACATATCAAACAAGGCATTGTGCTAAGCACTGTACAAAACTGAAAGGCAAAATCTTTGCTCACAAGCAATGTTCATCCACTTTTATGTTAACTATCCTAAGGAGAAAATTGTCCTTCAATAGCAACAACTTCACTATTTCATGAACATAAAACAATGATTCAACATATTTACTAAAACTATTTTTGAAAACAAAACTACGACATATTTTTTAGTTTTAAAAGCGTTTCAATGCTCCAAGATAGGAAATAAGCTTGGTTAGGAAAAATCTCTAAGGCTATACCTGCTTTAGCATCAAGTAAGGAAAGTCTATCCAGCTCTCAAAGGCACTGATGGGCAACCATCTATTTCAAGGTACATCACAGAAATGCCACATGGATGAGTAGCATGCTTTGAGTAAGGACAAGCAATGTTTACCTGTTGCTGTACGGGTACTTGCTGTACTACTTGGGTGGGCACTGCTGCTTGGCCAGCCACAGATGTCTGTAAAGTCACTGTCGAACCTGTGTCCGACCCAGTCTCTGATGTCTGCATGATGGTTTCTGAAAAAAATGAAATCAGAAGTCAGATTGAAAACACCATTCCTTATGAAACTGCCTTCTAATATTTAAAACATAATACTTATCCACATTCTAAACACCTACTCCCCCACCCCCCACACTACTTCCCTCACATAAGGAAAACCTACACACAACACACACACATACATACACACACACACACCCCTCTTATTTCTCCAGATACAAATATGAATGGCCATTTAATTAGATATACCTGTGAGGACATTTTCACTGAACAGATCACTCTGTAAAGAAGTATAAAAAACACCCACTGTACAAGTTTAAAATGTAATCTCTCTTATTGTGGATGTGAAGGTTGCAAAATGAAAGCAAATCAAATAAACATTTTTGTTAATCTAGCACTCCTAATACTATATAATGCTATATTGAGGCCTGTGATTAAGGAAATGTTTCAAGATGTTCTTGTTAGTTTGAGTGTTCAATTCTCAGAGATGGCACTGAATCTAATCTAATGCAGCCTGAAATAAATCACTCTTTATGGGCAGAGTTTTATGTTTTCAGAATGTCAGTGGAGGAATACAAATTGATAAATTAGTGAAGTGAAAAGTTCATTTAACTAGGGACCTAGATTTAAGTCACAGATATTTCACTACTAGCAGTGTGACCTTGAGCAGACCACATAACCTTTCTGTGCTAAGTTTCCTTTTCTATAAAAGAAGGGGGATGTCATTTATCTCTAAGATCCCTTCAGGTTCTAAATCTATGGTTGTATGATTAGAATATTTTTTTCTTTACTGCAAAAAAAGTTATCAGTGATGGCAGAACAAAAATACTGCACCATGTTTCAAATTTTTGAAAATTTCTGTAAACGTCAATTTTTGGACTCATTTTTTTCAAAGAAAAAAATGACCATTTTCAATAGCGATTCAAGCAACCTATGTGATTTGCATGCTACAGTCTTTTCTATCAATTCATAAAATTCTGTAGCCAGAAAGAAGTTTAGGGAGCCTTCATTTTTGTGATGAGGAAATTTAAGCCATTAGGAGTAAAGGGACTTGTTTAAGATTACACAGCTAGCTAGTGTTAGAGTCAGAACCAGAATAATTTTTTTTTTACTTCCCATTCCAATCCTCTTTTAATTTATATCAAGTTGTTTTGGTGACAATAGTTTGATTTATCAGATAGTCCCTTAGTCTTTTGTTATGAATGACCCTAAACAATTATAGACAGAAAAAGGAAGTGAAGGGGAAAGAGAATAACATGTGCATTATAATTTACAATTTAAAATATATTTTCTTATTCATGTAAGTATTATTGTCTCCATTTTACAGAAGAGATAAACTCAGAGGGATTAAGTGAATTGTCTGAGGTTAAATAGTAAATATCAGAGCCCAGATTTGAACTTATGTGTGATCTGAAATACACTGCCTTTTAAAAATGGCAACAAGAAAAATCTGATTTTAAAAAGAATTATAATAATAGGATTATAATGAAATGAAGGCAATGTGAATTCTGCAATACCTAAAAAATACATGCTCAGACAACAGAGCTGAGACCACAGAGCTGCCTAAAAATGTTTTATAATTCCATTCAAATTCAATAAATATATATTACTAGTGTGTGACAGCATTTCAGATGTAAAACTCCTTAATCAGCATAAGAGCATAAATTAGTGCTACTCAAATTTTGTATAAGGGGACCCCTGAATTTGGATGAAAGCTCCATAAATTACAATTCCATAAATCCCATTCCCGAGCAAAGCACAACTTTGACTCCTCATCGCAACATAAACGTGAACCTGGGTTGTCAAAGGTTTCACCCACAGAGCAAAAGCTCTGACAACTTCTGTAAGACTAGAAAGACTTTGAGAACACTCTTCCTGATGAGATGCATTCTGTTCTCCATGAACTAACCCATTAGGTACAGAGAAGCTCATCTCCATTACAAATATGATTGGCTACTGGTGAATTATTCTTTGGCCATGGAAACTCATTTTTTTCTCTTATCTTTTTTTAAAATAGTGATTGGAATCTATAAACATTGCATAGAGCAGTGGTATCAAACTCAAATAGAAACAGGGGCCACTAAATTGTGCATAACTATCCTTGCAGGCCACATGTTGACTTGGAAAACCATACATGTTCATATACACACATACATATATGTACATACATTCATATATGTACATATGTGTACGTACATTTTTATTACTATGTTAACATATTAAAATCAGATAGGAATTCCATTTGATCTGGTTTGGGTCACACTTGTCAGTATTGTGGTCTGTATGTAGCCCACAGACCATGTATTTGACACCTGTGATTTAGAATACTTCACTCTTGGTACTCTAAATATGAGATCTTTGTCCAGTCACCAACAAATTGACAAATTACTCTGAAGCATATAAGTATTGATATTTTTATGATAAGTAGACAAAAGTAAGTTACAGTTAAGTTAAAGGATGACTCACAGGTTCTTCTTGAAAAAGCATAAAAAGGAAATTCTAGAGTTGATTTCATCATGTGCCCAAAGGGCAACAAGAAACAGCAATTTCATGATATAATTGGTCATCTTGACTTAAAGTAATCATAACAAATATAAGCAAAAAGAATGATGAGAAAGATAACCGAATATTATTTGTCAACTTCTGCTGCAGAGGATGAAGAGGGAAAAGAAATTTATAAGATTCTACAAACCATGTTAATAGGTACTTTGATACTCAGTAATTCTAATGAAGAGGCAGGTAAAGGACAACAAAATGTTGGCGAAAATGACCTGAGTGTGAGAAAGAGGCCAAAGGATTGTAGACTACTCAGAAGGCTCATCCCTTTATATTAAGAATATTTTCACTTAGAAGAGAGTGCTGGACGTAGCTAGCACTAAACCTCATCATAAGAAAATAAAAATGACCACATAATTTTTTTTTGGTCTGTATAGTTGATTTAATTGCTGTTAGGAAAACCTGGCAAGGAAATCCCCTCTATCAATGCAGATTGACAAGTCATCTGTAACTTGCAGCCTTACAGAGTTGCTTGGAGTACTGAGAGTTTAGATAACTTATCATAGGTCACACAACCCATATACATGAGAGGTAGGAACTGAACAATACAAAGACAATGACTGTCTACAGATGATGGGAATCATAACAGATTCTTCAAAGTGAAAATCAAGATGCAAGATTCAGAGGTAGCATCCCAGGAAGAACAGAAAGTAACAACTATCAATGATTAATCCTATTCTATTTAAGAACATGGTACCTTAGGCAGAAGTGTACCTGTATAAGCCTGGGAGGTATGTCCCTAGGAATAGAATGGGCAAATATTGGAGAGCCAAAGGCAGCCACATTTTACCCTTCTTAAGTCCAACCAGATGCAAATGCATACCCTTGCAGGTATCAGAGAATGAAAAATGGAACCAGAGAGACAGATGTGTTTGTGTGTGGGGTGGTGGTGGTGGTGGTAAAGGTTTCTGTATTCAATTTCATTACTGAGCAGATCTTGAGGGTGGGAGGGACAGATTGGTCACTTTAGCAGAGCTTGATGTAATACTTACCCAAGCGCTATCACTACTCTCATCACCCTGAAATAGAAGGTTTCAAACAATTTCAGCCTAACAATCCATTCAGGAAAAACAAAATGGGTGAAAAATACCTATTGTCCAGACTATGACATATGCCTGCTTTCTGACCTTTATAAAATCCTTATGAAAATGGGCTATGTATGTTTTGAGGGTATCATTAACAACAATAAAGAAGGCGATACACAACCTTCCATGAACATTCCTCTGCGGCAGACCATACCATATAGTTACACAAATAAGTAAAAAGTACAAAAAATGTAAGAGCCATATAGATGTTTACTGTTTGTTAATTTTAGAAGACTCATTTGACTCAGGACAGCAAAAACTGAGCCTTAAAAGCTCTTTCCTTGAATGAGGAGTTTCTCATGTATATGTTAAAATTGTATAAAATGTATAATATTCCTTGATAAGTACAACTACAGAGGCAATTTTGCTGGATGACTATCTGGTTCTTAACAATAAGCAAGGCATAAAAACAGGGATAGCTATATAGAATATTCTTGCTAAGTTCCAAATGGAAGAGATTTCCCATAGGTAGTTTCTTTAGATGTTCCCAGGGATAATTTTGTGCTGAATGAATCCAGTACCAGTATATTACACTGGCTTCTCAGTGAGATCTATGGTTTCTCAAAATACCTCAACCATAACAATGCCTATAAGAAAAACAAAATAGATGCAAAATGCAAGTGGAACACCAGTCCACTGAGTTGGTACATAGATATCTACATTTGTTCAAAAAGCATTTATAAATTACCTATTATATGAAAGCAACTATGTTCAGTGCTGGGGATACAAAGGCAGAAACACCTACCCTCAAAGAGCAAACATTCTATTGAACACATTGGTATCTCAGCTAGACACTGAAGATGACTTATGAGTTGGGCTCAGAGTTTTTTGAGAGGAAGAGAATGTCCTGGATAGCATTTGAGAAATTATGTAGTCTTTAGCCATCTCAAGCTATTCCCATTTTTAATTCAAATGTTCTCCAGTGTCACTGTGCGGATACAAATAATTGAATGCCATAGTTTCTGGACAGTGAAAATTGTAGGTTATCCAAAGAACAATGAAGAGACACGCAGGAGCACATGAAGGCAGCAGGCATATTTCTAATTATTATCTCAGGGCAAAAAAGTCATGTAAATGCTCTGATCTGAAAAGATGGACCACCTATGTCACAACAGTGAGAGATAAAAGGACAGCCCAAAATTTACATTGCAAAATGTAAAAAGACCTAGAGTAGAACAGAGATTTTTAACCTGAGGTCCATAAACTTGATTTTTCAAAAAAATATGTTTGTGACTGTATTTTAATATAATTGGTCTCCTTTGTAACTCTATGCATTTCATTGTATACATTTAAAAACTTTATTCTAAGAAGGTTCATCATTTTCACTAGACTTCCAAGGCTCTATGACCTTTTGTCCATAACAAAAAAAGGCTAAG